TTTACTAATAATCTACCCATCAAATCCTACTTTTACCCATCACATCAAAGTACATTTTTGGAAATTCAATACCAAAATACACTCCCTTAAATCTCCTCAAAAAGCAAAATGTCTCATGTTTCATGGGACGGAGGAAGTATAATAGTAACTACAAACTGAGAAAATATTAATGAGGTTTGGATTAATCCGTACTATGAACTAATAGCCATTTTTTCAAAAATAAAATAACTGCTATGAAAACTTGAAAATCATAAAATTCAAGAATTCTTTTTTCATGTGCGAGGAAGTAGATATTTTCTTTTTAAGAAAAGACCCAAATCTTTAATAAAATCAATGCACCAAGTAGGGATGGCAATTCTATCCGAATCCGACTTTTACCGACCCGACCGGAGGTTATTATATCCGAATCCGAACCGAAAAAATAAATATCCGAAACCGACCCGAAAAAAATTAAACCGAACCCGACTTTTGTCGGGTTGGATTTGGGGTAGTATATTTGACCGACCCGACCTGTACCCGAACCGACCCGACATATACCCGACTTTCAATAAGTTTTAAATAACTCTAAATTCCTATATTTTATGTATTTTTTATGCACATTGATGGTGTAAATTACTTGACCGATCAAACTATACTAGACCGGGTCTAGAATAGTTGGCTTGATTTCGTAAAAGTAAAGAAAGTAAAAACACTCAGAATGACCGGTAGGACTTTAGGTGGAACACCTGTAGCCCGAATTGTATTAAAACAGAGAATGCACGGTCACTTTTACAAGGGAGTTTGGAGAGAGTGAATTCGGATCCCTTTCTTCGAGGGTTACAAGTGCTATATATACTAAGCTAGGGGGGGGGGGCAGGACCACGTGCGCCCACGTGGGGGCATGCAGCTGGCGTGGTGTGACCTGACTGATTTCGTCCTCGAGCTGTCCTGTCGCCTTGTGAGGAGAATCGCTACCCTTGTCGTGGTCTGGCTTGGAAATGTTCCTTCGGCATCTCTACGATTCCAACCACTACAGTCCAAGTCCCTCTTGGATTCTCCCTGCCGACACCCACCAATCTTGTGAAAGTATACCGGTCGAATCTTGAGGGTTGGCTAACTTCGAAGGATGACTTTAGGCCATGGGCGAATTTGACTGGTATACTATCCGAAGTATACCGGTCGAAGTTTCGGTCAATCGTCTGCGGATTCATCACTCGCCTTTGAGCTTGACCTCCTTGACCGGTCAATGTTTTGGCCCGGATCTTTGACCGGTCATGGGTGAAATACACCCATCAATAAGCCCTCCACTTCTCGGTTATGCAATCTTGTCATAAGCGGGAAGTAAAATCTGAGGAATGGGTTCAAAATTCGAATTTTCACCTTTTTCCCGCTTAAAATTTTTGAATTTCAAATTCCAAGTTCTGCCACGCGTCGCGCTCCCATTGTTGCAACGGTCGGCTGGCAGACCCGTCGTTTCGTCTGCCAGCGGGTCATCATTGCGCCGCCCAACGCGGCGCGCTCTGCATGGGCCACGTCGCCCTCTCTCGCATTCTCCTCGCCTATATAAAGGCTTCAAACCCCATTCATTCCTTCACTTCTTCGTGCGCGTCTCTCGAGTTTCACCGGTCAAGCTCCCTCTCTCTAGCCTTCCAGCCCTCCGAGCCAAGTAAGCCTCCTTCTTTCCTTTATTACTCCATTTTTTCTTCCGGTAGATGTCTTCTTCCGATAGTCAAGATATTTCTGCCTCGGATGCCCGCGCATCCGAGGAATCCCTTTCTTCGTCTTCTTCGACCGGGTCGTCTTCTCCCCCTCCCCGGTCAGTTCCAAACCCCAAGATCCCTGAGCCGCAGCCGCTGAATCAGATGCCTGGTCACCTTTTCGCGGAGGGGGAGGAACCGGTTAATGTCGAACCAGCCCCTTATGACCAGGAAAAAGAGACCAGGGATCAGTGGGTGGAGAGGTTGGATGCAGCCGGTTACTCTCCCCTTCCTACCTCCTTCGTCACAGACATCTGCCCCAACGTTTCCAAAATAGCTTTGAATAAGGCCCGTAGGAAGCTCCCGACGGGCTACGTCCTCGAATACGACAAGAACTGGCCCAACATCATCGAACCCCACCGGGGAGATAGAATAGGTTTCCATATTGCTTCACTAGAGGGCGGCATCGTTTTTCCCCTCCGCCCCCTCCTGGTTGAGCTTTGCCATTGCTTCAAGATTCTACCCGGTCAGATTACTCCTAATGCCCACCGGTTACTGAATTCTTTCGCAAACATCTGCGCCAACCTTCGCATAGACCCCTCTCTTCGCCTCTTCCTCTATATGTTCGAGGTCCGTCCCGGTAAGCCAGGTTGCGAGGGCTTTGTCTATTTCAAGGGGCGGAACAACCGGAAGTTTATTTCCGACCTTCCACAAAGCAACCGTTTGTGGAAGGAAAAATTTGTGTTCATAAGGTTTCCCCCTTCCGTCACTCCTCTGGCCGGTTTGACATGGAGTGATAATCTTCTCCGGCACCAATTCACTGAGCCGCCCACCACTCCAGACTTGGAAGAGAGTCTAGAAAAGCTTCTGCAGGGGGATCCCCATACCGGTCAGATGTACCACTATGGGGGTTGGGTTTGGCGCATCCAAACGGGTGATGAGGGTTCCTCCCGGGCCCATGAAGCAGCGGGGCACGGGGGACCCTCCCCGGGCAACACTGCGGAGGCTGGAGGCCCAAGTCACCCAGGTATCCCTCTATTTCTTTTTTCCTTTGCTTTTCTTACTGGACCGGTCGTGGTTGGATTACTTAGAGGCATTTTGCTTGTTTTTGTAGACATGAATTTCAGGGCCTACAACATGCCGAAGACGACCGGTGGATCATCTGCTGCCGGTCCGCATTCTTCAGCAACCGAACCGGTCCAGAAGGAAACTATAGAGATCCATTCGGAGGAGGAGAATCCGGAGACCGGTGGAGCTTCTCCGACCGGGAAGGGACCAGCGAACTCTCCCCCCAACAAAGGAAAGGGGAAGAAGAGAGTGAAGCATGCGGCCACCACTCACCCATCGGCCAAGAAGAAAAGGGGAGAGAACACCCCGGCCGAGGAATCGCTGGAGGAGCTCTGGGTCAAATTGACCCTCAAACTGAAAGGGGTAATGTATACCCGGGGCTTGAACTCTTTATTTGCTACTCGATTGTTGTACTAACCGGTGCGCTTTTCAATATGCAGATGGGTGAAGTTAGGCCCGTTGCTTTGGAGCAACTCACTGAAGATTCCTCCTCCCGGTTATCCCAGCTGGAAGAAAGGCTTAGAAGATCCGAGGCCCACAACCGGGAGCTTAAGGAGCTGATGGACCGGCAGCTGAACGAGATGGGCAATCTTTCAGCGATTGCCGAGGGAGCCAAGGCAGAGACCCTCCAGCTCAAGGAGGAAAACCTGAAGCTGATGGAGGACTTAGAGTCCAAGGAGCGGGAGTTCCCCGGCAAGGCCAGACAGTGGATGGAGGATAACCTGGTGGAAGCTGCCCGAGTGCTCACCTCTTCTGAAGAGAGGACGATGGAGGGCTTCAAGCTTCTGTACCGGGAGGAGCAAGGAAAAGAAATGATCACCCAGATCGGCTCTTATGGCTTCATGTCGGGGCAGAAACGAGACCGGGAGGCTACCCATGCGGTCCTTGCAGAGCGCCTTCAAGATTTTTCTGCTGAAGCGTACGGTTTAGCACCCATCCCGGATGATGAGCCCGCTCCCCCTTTCCCCTTGGAATGAAAACTCCCCGGCTGCGACCGGTTGACTTGTTCTGTAAAAACTTCAAACTCATTTCCCCGGGAATGCCCGGTGTAGATGTAAAACACTTAACCTCTTTATTTTGTTGAATGCCATGTTCGTTTTTCTTACCGGTTAATCTTTCATACCTGCTCACCCTTAATTGATGTTTTGCTTTTGTTCCTCGAAATGCCTTCGCAAAAATTTTGACCGGTTAAGCTTTCATGTTTGCTTCCTCCTGAATTGATACTTTGCCACTTTATTTGACCGGTTAAACTCCAACTTGATGGTCAACCCAAGGATGTTTGACCGGTCGGACATTTTGAACACCTTCGTTTTGTTTCGTAAATGAAGTGCAGTTTGACCGGTAGGTCCCTTCTTCACGGTCAGACCGGTGAACTGCTTCGCCTTGTGGAACTTTCGAAGTTCCATTGTGCCAATACCCAACCGGGGTATTCTTTTTTTTTTTTTTTTTTTTTAACCGGTAGGTTGTAGATGGAACACCTGTAACCTAGAAATTTCTTGAAGTATTCTTAACCGGTAAGAATACTGGAGATTTAACCATGTTCGGATGGTTTCGGACCCTCTCCGAGATCCAGATGCACCCTTCTTCCAGGGCCCCCTCTTCCGGGTGATTAAGTCTTTTAATGGCCCTTTAATTTCTACCATCCTGGGAAGGCCTTAGCTCACCCCCCCGTTCAAGTCTTCCCTGAGAATGGGGAAACAGGATGCGCCACGGTGGACGATCCCCTTCTATTTCTTTTAATGGGCATCTTTTAGTCCCCAATTAGTTTGACGGCGTTGGCTGATTCCCCAACACCGGTCAAACCTCATGGGCCCGTGTAAGTACGGTTCGAACCTTCTTCCAGGTCCAGCCCTCTTGCAGGCATACCCTCTTCCGGGCCCCTCTTCCGGGTTTTATATTTTTTCTATTATACTGAGCAAGACCGGTGTAGTAACCAGCGTGCCAGGTCCGGGCCTGTGTCTCAGTTGGCTTATCCGAGTGGATCCGATCCACCCGGGAAGCCCTCCTAGGATAGGTTCGACCTATCAATTCTGCNAGGATGCGCCACGGTGGACGATCCCCTTCTATTTCTTTTAATGGGCATCTTTTAGTCCCCAATTAGTTTGACGGCGTTGGCTGATTCCCCAACACCGGTCAAACCTCATGGGCCCGTGTAAGTACGGTTCGAACCTTCTTCCAGGTCCAGCCCTCTTGCAGGCATACCCTCTTCCGGGCCCCTCTTCCGGGTTTTATATTTTTTCTATTATACTGAGCAAGACCGGTGTAGTAACCAGCGTGCCAGGTCCGGGCCTGTGTCTCAGTTGGCTTGTCCGAGTGGATCCGATCCACCCGGGAAGCCCTCCTAGGATAGGTCCGACCTATCAATTCCGCTGCTACCATGTAGAGTATTGAATGTCATCAGTTTGATTGATAATAAATTAGGCCTTGCCTAGCATTACAATCATTTGTAGAACTTGCGAAGATGATGGGAATTCCAGGTTCTTTCTACCGGTACACCTTCAAGAGTTTCTAACCGGTAGGTTCCCGGGCGAATGATAGCTTTCACCCGGTAAGGCCCTTCCCAGTTTTTGGCCAGCTTTCCCCCGTCTCCCGGTCTACTAGCCTCCCTTCTTCGCAGGACTTCATCGCCGACTTGAAAGTATCGCGGTCCAACCTTGTTGTCGTGGTATTTCTTCACGACTTGTTGATATGTGCTCATTTTAACTTCCGCGGCCATCCTCCGTTCTTCGACCAAGTTGAGTTCGGCCAAGTGATCTTCCTCATTCTGCTGGGGTTGATAATTTGATTCCCGAAACGTTGGGAATTCAGCTTCGATGGGCAGCCTCGCTTCACACCCATAGGTTAGAGAAAATGGAGTTTCCCCATGAGCCCTCCTGGGTGTTACTCGGAATGCCCATATGATGTGCGGAAGTTCTTCAAGCCATTTGTTTCCTGCTTCTCCCAGCCGTTTCTTTAGGCCATCCATAATTGTTCGGTTGGCGTTTTCAACTTGGCCATTTCCTTGGGGGTATGTCACCGAAGAACGATTGTGTTTAATCCCGAAGCCCTCCAAGTATTCGGTGAATCTTGGATTTCGGAATTGAGGGCCATTGTCGGTGATTAGATTCATGGGAGCCCCAAACCTTGTGATGATGTTCTTCCAAATGAACTTCTTGCATTGTTGCGTGGTGATGTTGGCCAATGCTTCGGCCTCTATCCATTTGGTGAAGTAGTCGATGGCGACAATCACGAACTTCTTCCTTTCTTGGGCAATTGGGAACGCGCCTATGATATCCACTCCGAATCTAGCGAATGGGATGACATTCGACACAGGGTGGTAGTAAGTCGCCGGCCTACCGGGATACTTGTAGAATACTTGGCACGTCCTGCATTTCTAAACATACCTCTCGCAGTCCTGGACAATTGTCGGCCAGTAATACCCCAACAAGATGATGCGCTGGGAAAGGGTTCGCGACATTTGATGTGCTGCGCACACCCCTTCATGGACTTCTGCTATGACTCGCTCAGCCTCCCGGTTGGTCAGGCACCTTAGGAGTGGTCCTCCAAATGCCCTTTTATACAGCTTCCCGTCAAGGACTTGAAATCGGGGTGCCCTGAGCTTAACTTTTCTTGCCCGGTCATCTTGTTCTGGCAAGGTTCCGTCCATCAGGTATTCCATCAGATCATACATCCAGTGGTCATCCGCCCCGACCAAGTTTGACCGGTCAGGTTGGCCAGCTTCTGTTATGGCGGCTACTTCCAATTTTTCAATGCTGGCATGATCAAGAATTTCTACCCGGGCAAGTTTTGAAACATGCTCGGGGGCATACTGCGTCAATTTGGAGAGGAGGTCTGCATCCGCGTTCTCTGCCCGGGGGATTTGGGCGATCTTGAATTCCTCGAAGCCTTTCAACAAGGCAAGTACCAAGTCTTTGTACTGCGCCATTCGTCCTTCTCTGGCCTCCATATTACCGGTCACTTGCCCAACGATCAAACTAGAATCAGATTTGATACTGACCCGGTTGATCTTCAGTGCTTGGCCAAGTCTGAGCCCTCCAGCCAGGGCTTCATATTCGGCTTCGTTGTTCGTCAGCTTGAAGTTGAAGACGATTGCATGGTAGATTTTGAATCCTTCCGGGGTGGTAAAGACTACACCACCCCCGTAACCTTTAGGACCGGATGCCCCGTCCACTGCCATCTCCCACCATTGCTCGGTGGGCTTGTCGACCGCTGCATCTGGAGTTACACCGGTCATCTCCACAAGGAAGTCCGCAAGGGCTTGCCCTTTGATTGCTGATCTCGGCCGGTACTCAATGTTGAATTGAGTTAACATCATCGCCCATTTCACCATCCTCCCGGAGGATGTTGAATTTCGCAAGACTGCACCCAGCGGTTGGTCAGTCAAGACTTCTACCGGGTGAGCTTGGAAGTAGGATGTCAACTTTTTTGCAGAGATGAAAAGTGCATAGGCTATTTTTTCCATCGCTGTATATCTACTTTCTGCTCCGTTTAGTGCCTTGCTCACATAATAAATGGGCTTTTGTGCCCCATCATCTCTTATTAAAACGGAGCTTACAGCATTTGGGGAAATCCCTAGGTACAGATACAGAGTTTCACCCGGTTGGGGTTTAGATAGTACAATGTCTGACACTAGGTACTCTTTCAGCTCCTCGAATGCCCTCTGGCACTCTTCGTCCCATGCGAAAGTGTTGGCCTTCTTCAGGACTTTGAAGAAAGGTAGGGACCTCTCAGCTGACCGGGAAAGGAACCGGCTGAGTGCCGCTAAACGACCGGTCAACTTTTGGACATCCCTCACAGATGTGGGGGCCTGCATTTCAGTGATAGCCCGTATTTTTTCCGGGTTGGGCTCTATTCCTCTCTTGGTCACCATGAATCCCAAGAACTTCCCGGTGCGAACCGCGAAGACACATTTCTTAGGATTCAACCGGAGGTTATATCTTGCCATGATATCAAATGTGGCACGCATATCAGCCGAGTGACTGAGGGATACCTGGCTTTTGATCAGCATGTCGTCGACGTACGCCTCCATGGTCTTCCCTAGCAGTGGCTTGAAGAGCTTGTTGACCATGCGCTGGTAGGTTGCCCCCGAGTTCTTCAAGCCAAACGCCATCACCCGGTAGCAGTATGTTCTCTCGGGGGTGAGGAATGACGTTTTCTCCTCATCCTCTTTGGCCATGTAGATTTGGTGGTAACCCTTGAATGCATCCATGAAACTTAGGAGTTCGCACCCCGCAGTTTCGTCCACCATTTGATCTGGACTAGGGAGGGGGTATGAATCCATCGGACACGCCTTGTTTAAGTCCGTGTAATCCACACACATTCTCCATGTGTCCCCCTTGGGAGCAAGAACCACATTAGCCAGCCAATCCGGGTATTTAACTTCCCGAATGTGATCAACACTAAGGAGGTCCTTCACCTCCTTCTTGACGAAGTCTCGCCGGTCACTGGCCAAATACCTTTTCTTCTGGCGTACCGGTCGACTTCCTTCCCTCACTGCCAGCCGGTGGCAGATGATTGAGCGATCTATCCCGGGCATATCCGCCACGCTCCATGGGAATATGCCCGCGTATTCTTGAAGCACCCGTGTAATCTCTGCCTTGAGATCTTCTGGGAGGTTTGCTCCCATTCTGACCATCCTGGATGAATCACCCGGGTGAAGTTCAATCTCCACCGTCTCAGCTTCAGGCTCCAGTTTCTCCCGGGTCTCTCCCTTGGTGATCTCTTGGGAGATGACGTTGACCCCCTTGGTCATCCTTTTGACTGCCCGGGCATAACATTCCCGGGCATTCCTCTGGTCGCCCCGTATTTCTCCCACACCGCCTGGGGTGTGGAACTTCATGCATAGATGGGGCATGGAGATCACTGCCCCAACCTTGTTGATGCCTGGCCTGCCAAGGATTGCGTTGTGGACGCATTTGATATCCACAACAATGAACCGCATCCTTTTCCACACGGTCTTTTCGCCCGATCCTAGTTCAACCGGTAGAACTATGGATCCCTCCGCTTCAACTGTATCACCCGTGAAACCTGAGAGAGGGGTTTTGAGGGGTTCAAGTTGTGTCCGACACAACCTGAGTTTCTGGAAGGTCTCCAGGTAGAGGATGTTGACACTGCTGCCGGTGTCAACAAGTACCCGGGCGACGTCCACCCCGTCGATGTCCATGGTGATGACCAATGGATCATTGTGATCTTCACCGGTAGGAGGGAGGTCCCGGTCAGTGAAGGTTATTGGCTCCCTCCTGGGATACTTACGCCTGGCCGGTTCAGCACTTACCTCGCCCACGTAAATGCTGCGGACCCAGTTTTTTCGTTACGCGGCCGAATCTCCACCCTCGGGTCCGCCAAAGATCATCCCAATGTGTTCTTTGTCGGGGGCAGGCTGTTGCTCCCTCTGCCGGTTGTTCCTCCGCCGGTCATTGACCCGGTCATTTCCCTGGGTCGCTGGCCTTACCCATTGATGGTTCTTCTCCTGGGCTTTCTGCAGGTAATCCTTGCCAAGCTCTCCGCTGTCTATCATCTGCCGGATGACCCCCTTAACACTTTTGCATTCAGAAGTGTTATGGGAATCTGACCTGTGGTATGAGCAGTAGGTGCCCGTCCACTGGCGCCTAGTTTGACCGGTAGGATTTTCCGGAGGAACGACCGGGTAGGTAGCCGGTGCTTTCCTTATTTCCTGACACTCTTCGGTGTTGACCACGCGGACGACCGGGTCATAGTGGTGCCTTGGCCGGATGGGTCCCGGTGCTTCTTCCTTCTTGACTTGTACCGGCTTGGGCTTGTAACCATGCTCGGCTTCCTTCTTCGCCCGGAGCTGGGTTTCCGCCTCGGCGAACTCCCACGCAGTGTGGTATGCTTCCTGATACGTGGTCGGGGGTTTTCGGCAAAACTCCTTGTAAAGTTCCCCGGCTCGAAAACCATTCAGGAGGAGGGACAACACTGTCTTGTCGTCCATCTCCTCAACCTTGTCTACCTCCTCCTTCCACCGGGTAAGGAATTGAGTGAGGTTCTCTAATTCCCTTTGCCCGGCCGTACTAAGATAGGTGAATTTCTTCCTCTTAGTACAGTTCTCCTGGAACTTGGCCTTGAACTTCGAGGCCAAATCGCTGAATGAGTCGATGCTTCCCGGGCGAAGCTTATTGAACCACTCGGTGGCTCGATTCCGCAAGGTCTGGAAGAAAAGGAGGCACTTTTCTTCATCTGTGCAACCATTCATGGTTGCACTTTGATTGAAGGAGTCCAGATGGATTTCTGGGTCCTCCTTACCGGTGAACCTGGGGGCGTCTATCTTAACCTTTCGCGGGAAAGGTGTCAGATGGACCCTTGCGGTGAACGGGGAACCTGCGAGAGGTTTGTCCCGGTCATTCTTCTCCCCTACTTTTTTCTCCAGCCTCTCCAACTTTGCCTCCATCTGTTGGACGCGGTCGTTGGGGATGGTTATCCGGTTAGCCACCGGTAGCCTGGGTTGGCTTTCTGCTTCCTCCTCTTGACGAGAGGCCCTCGTCCTGGCTGGCTCCAGCCGGTTTGACTGGGAGCGTTGGGTGCGGGCAGGCTCGGCCTCCCTCATCTCGCCCAACCGGGCAAAGGCGCTGACATGAGCGACACTTTGCCCCAGCCTCAGCTTGGCTGACTTCCTCTGGCCCTCTTCCCTTTCCCCCAGCCTTTCGAAGGCGGAGTTCCGGGAAGTCGCGGGGCGTGTGGTCTTCCCCTTCTTCTTCTTGTGGGCCCTCGGAATGTCCCACTCGTCATCTCCGCTCTCAACTGAGACGCAGTGACCATCAGGAGTGATTTGTGGATTCGTACCTTGTGGGGGACGCGACGGCCCCGCAGCGTTGAGTGCGCCAGTCAAGTTGATGGGGGCCACGGCGCTGACCAGCTGCGGTTGGAAAGGTGATGGCTGCGGAACCGGTGTCTGGAACGGCGTCACTGCCATCGGAGTTTGTAGGGGCATCGTTCCCGCTCCTGGAAGGGCGAATGGGAACATACCAGGGAGAAAAGGCATCCCCCCATTCTGTTGGCATATGGCCATGACCTGGCCAAAGCCCTGGATGGCTTGTAGGTTGGCGGGGTCGTTCATGAACTGAGTCATGCTTGGTGGGAAAGTGACCCTCGGCCCAGCGGAAGGGACTGGGGCCGTGAATGGACTAACCATGCTGGGTGTTGGAACCGAGCTTAGCCCCAATGGCAAAACCGGAGTAGAAATGGCTGGCAAGGTAGCAACCATGGGGATGCTGGTACCTTCAGTGGTAGCTCGCACCTGAGTGGAGGTGGCGTTGATCTGCTGGCTTGAAGACATTTTTAGTGGTGTTTTTGTGGGTAGGTTTGCGTTTAGAAGAGAAAAAACCTTAACGGTCCCACGGTCGGCGCCAAAAATGATGGTGTAAATTACTTGACCGGTCAAACTATACTAGACCGGGTCTAGAATAGTTGGCTTGATTTCGTAAAAGTAAAGAAAGTAAAAACACTCAGAATGACCGGTAGGACTTTAGGTGGAACACCTGTAGCCCGAATTGTATTAAAACAGAGAATGCACGGTCACTTTTACAAGGGAGTTTGGAGAGAGTGAATTCGGATCCCTTTCTTCGAGGGTTACAAGTGCTATATATACTAAGCTAGGGGGGGGGGGCAGGACCACGTGCGCCCACGTGGGGGCATGCAGCTGGCGTGGTGTGACCTGACTGATTTCGTCCTCGAGCTGTCCTGTCGCCTTGTGAGGGGAATCGCTACCCTTGTCGTGGTCTGGCTTGGAAATGTTCCTTCGGCATCTCTACGATTCCAACCACTACAGTCCAAGTCCCTCTTGGATTCTCCCTGCCGACACCCACCAATCTTGTGAAAGTATACCGGTCGAATCTTGAGGGTTGGCTAACTTCGAAGGATGACTTTAGGCCATGGGCGAATTTGACCGGTATACTATCCGAAGTATACCGGTCGAAGTTTCGGTCAATCGTCTGCGGATTCATCACTCGCCTTTGAGCTTGACCTCCTTGACCGGTCAATGTTTTGGCCCGGATCTTTGACCAGTCATGGGTGAAATACACCCATCACACATATTTTTAATATTTTAAAACTTATTGCATTTTTTATGTTTCATTTTTTTATTGTGATTTAATATTGTGTGTCCCACATGTGCTATTTTCATTGTACTCCATATATTATTAATTGAAACTTAATATTGTTTGTTCCACACGCGCGGGAAGACGAAGCGGGTGCGGATTTCTACTCTGATGTCGCCCCCAACGAGATCGGACGACTTCCGTTTGACATCTTTAAGGGTTATTCGGTCATAATTATTTTTGATAATATCTTAAATTTTATATCATCTTTAAAATTTTTAATTTCTAATGCATTTCAATATCAAAATTTTCATGAATAGTTTAAAGAGTATTCAAACCCGAAATTGACCGTAACCGACCCGACCAAATCTTAGACCGAATCCGAACCGAAAAAATAAATATTCGAAACCGACCCGACAAATTAAAACCCGAACCCGACCTAAGTTAGGTCGGATTTTAAAATACTCAAACCCGATCGAACCCGACCCGTTGCCATCCCTAGCACCAAGGTACATAAAATAAATATGAATATTAAGACCAAATGAGAATTTGCCAAAAAATAAAGGAAAATGTTTGGCTCACAAACAAAATGGTCACAAACCTTACAAATTTACTATTTATGAATTTCAATAAATAAAATTAAATAATCTAAAATAATTTTAAAATGAAAATTTAAATCATAAATAGCAAATTTGTGAAGTTTATAATTATCCTATTTGTAGCATTGCTCAAAATTAAACAGGGAGTGAATAGTTGAAGGACAACTGGACAAGTCGTGGAAGTGTTTTGAATCTGGGCTGCAGCTGTTTGGGCACGCCGAGAAGGACTGCAGGAAACAACAAAGGTACACTGTTTGTGGGCCCCAACTCTGGATAGGTGAAGATGGTCTTGTTGGGCTATTTTTAATTTCAACCCAAATGGTACCGAAGAAACTCCATTTAATTCATTTCTCTTTTACTGGATCCTGTTCTTTACTCTTTTCAGTCCATAAAAAATCGTCTACTTCGTTTCTTTTTTGTTTTTTTCAATCTTTTTTAAAATTGTTTTCAAAAATTACAGGAATAGTGTATTGAATCATAATAAAAAATTTATATCAATTTATTTATATTTTAAAACACTACTTTGATTTTTTTTTGCTACTCATCGGATAAAGTAATATAATAATGTCACATTATGTTTCATAGGTTTTTTTTATCTATTTTTGAAATATATAATTTTTTTTTTCTATCTCAATTCTTAAATAAGTTATACTTGAGAATTAAAAATAAGTTCAGCCAAACTTCGTAAACCTAAATGTAATGTACTCCGTATATTAGTATAAAATAATTTTATTAGATTTATTTTGATAATTTTATTAATATACTCCCTCCGTTCCGTAAAACTATTTCCTTTTGGTTTTTTTTCAATTCCCTAAAATACTTCCACTTTCTATTAAAAAAAATACTTTCACCCCTACTTTTTCATACCCTACATATCACATCATACTTTTTCACAAACTATCACATCTAACTTTTACCCATCACATCAGGGGCAAAATTGGAAAGTCAACCAAAATTACACTTTCTTTATTTTGGCCCAAAGTCAAAATAGGAAGTATTTAAAGGAACGGAGGGAATATTTTATAAATTGAGATTAATTAAAATTCGAGGAACCATGGAATGACAGTATCATGCAAAGCATAAGAGTGATAAGACCCTATGTAAGTATTAGATACAAAATGCCTATAAACTAGATCAAGATTATACTGTAACTTGCATCTTTTCATGTAATTGTCCGACTAGTCGTAGAGGATTGTTTTAATGATAGGACCCATCCATTTTTTTTTTGAAAGGGGGAAACTTTCTTTGTTTTGTGTAGTGGTGGTGAAAGGTGAGGACCACCTTGTTAGAAAACTGATAGGAAGAACAGATTGGTTTGCAGAATAGAATTTTTATTGATTATGAATTACATACAGGAATGCTATGTTCCTGGAATATTTATTGACATCAACCAATACAACTATTGACACTAATCAACACATCATAATGATTGATTATGTTGAAGGTCTTTTATTGATGGGTATTGACGGGGAAAATCTTTGACGACAAAAAAAATAAATTTAATTAATTTATACATTTTGTGTGATTTGCTGTGGTGTGATTAACTGAGATATGATTGACTGGGCTTGTAACTGAGTAATGGGTAAGCCAATATTGTGAACAAACCCGATTAAATCTAACACACGTGGTGGGTGGCATCACCCATCTCCAGGAAATGAACAGTGAGTGCATCCAAAAAGATTAAATTTCTCAGACTTGGACAGAAAAGCTTTTTATTTCCAATCAAAACAGATTAGGACCACCTGTGAGAGACTTGACACAATCATATTACATGTCTCTGAATCAATCCATCCATTGTTAACTTTTGGCTGCCACTGCAACTTCATCACACTCAGAAAAAAGAAAGAAAGAAAGAAAGAAATGTACACTTTATCAGAGCTACTGTTGTTATACAGAGGATTAAAGAAAAAGAAGAATGAAAAAAAAGGGTCCCTTATTTTAAAAATGCTTCAACAAATCTAACCTAAAAGTCCAAAAATACATTCTTTTGTTCTGGCTGATAGGGAGGAGGCATATGTACAACTAGTCGAGTTATACCCCGTACCGATTATGGAAAGAAAAAAAAACGGGGCTTCATTAGTAAATTCGACCTCTGCAATTGGAAGATCCACAGAGACATGGAAGCCCTTCTTCTTCTCCGGGGAACGATTTGTAGCGATAGTCAAAAGTCAATTCTTCACCTGCAAGTATCTGAATATAGAGCAGTTGAGTGGGGCTATTCTTGCGATATATGTCTTGTTTCACAAAAAATAATCCAATTGAAAAGATACGAATACGGTAAGAATTGTTGTAAGAATAATCCCACTCTATATATACTTACATCTCGGCCAGCAAAAAGACCAATGTGTGCAAGTCGATAATCCATGCTCTCCACGACCACTTGGTGATTCACAAGATTCGGCGAGCAGCTACGAGCACCAATGTTATAAATAAAAACAATGATCATTGTCATGTTCTTTGTAAAAAAATTTGAGTCGCGTAAATTTTTTTTTCAACCTTGTTTTTGGAATGCTATTTGGAACATAAAATGAATTGCATCATGGCATATCAATTTAGCATGTCAACTACTAGAAGTGGAGAAAGCCTTCTCACCTATGATTGATATATCGCGAAACATTACCATAGTTAGTGGCATCAATCACATAAGGAGATTCCCCCTCAACCAGTCTGCTCATATCATTGATTTGTTCGTCGATCTTCAAAAAATATGCACGCCCTTCTTTCCCGTACCTAGCCATTATCGTCGCATACAAGAATTAGCATCAAAGGGGAATGCCTAACAAGATTGCAAAACTCTCTTTAAGGGGCAAAAAGGGAAGAAAATATACAGACCCGCAGCGCCTCCTATTTGCCTCTTCCTCGCTGATTACCTCACCGATGAACTCACACACAAAAGTACCGCGCAGGATTGCTTCTCTAGCCCTAACTGCCCACCCCTATTCACAAACATGATTCTCAAAAAAACGGCAAAAAATAGGAAAAGGAAACAAAGTGAAAAACATGATTTCTATTTAGAAGTTCCAAGATGATAGGAAGCGTAACCTTTGTCTCAGTTTTGAATATCTCAAGCTTCACTCGGACACCATTCTGCAAAACTCTGTTCCGACAAGATTTGCCACAGCAACACCGCTGGTTGCACTCATAGACTACATATCCCTCCTGCACCAACATCAGGTTGATAAGTAACCGAATGGAATTCGTATACAAAGTGTCTGTTTGGAAACGAAAGAGTATAAGAAAATAGACATAAAAAATGAAAATGTAGAGAGAAAAATGGGAAGGAAAGAAAATATGGAAACTCAAACTCGATATATAACATTTACCTCCAATATGATTCTCCCTCTATCATCATAAGGGAACCTACCACACATTGGCTGGCCATGAATGTCTCTTGCATCCTCATAGTCATTCTCAAAAAGATACGTGTGATCACAAGTTTGAGAAGAACACATGGAATCAGGACAAGAACACCCTAACTGTGAACTCTGCTTAGAAAGGGAGAAACAAAAGAGTCAGAGAGAAGGGATAAAAATGTCATCAAGAGAAAGAAGATGAACTTACACCGACATCAAGCTGCATTGATTGATCAAGAACTGGTTTTGTCACATAAGAAAAGCTTTCCCAAGGAAGAGAACTTGCTGCAATTTGACCATCAGAGTCGTCTGGAAGGATGTGGAGGGAGCCAAGAAGGTTGTCCTCTACCACACAGGTTATGGGAACCGATTCCAGTCCAAAACTAATATCATCGCACAAGACAATTGTCCTATCAGAGGGTTCGTACCTGATCTGTTGGGAGTCAATAACATAGTGAGACTCATCCAATTTCCACTCGCTTGCATTGGCAGCAGCAATGGGTGATGGAAATCTTGTTCTGTTGAGGAGGGGAACTAAAGGAGGAAGATGGTCATCAATCAACGGTCTACATCCATTTGGGCAAATAAATCCATCCAAGTGCCAATTTACTATGATATTTTGCTCACTGCAGAGTTTGGCTGCCTTTAAATATATTCGTTCTGGCAACGAGACTCCATAGCTTGCCTCCAG